GGGCATGCGGGTGGCTGGCGCGAGCCGTGCCAGGTGCAGGGTCTGCTAGCTGGGTGCTGGCAGGCTTGCACCTGGCATGGGCACTGTAGCCAGCCCGTGCCCCTTTAAGGGGTCCAGGGCCGGGAGGGGGGCAGACGAGTTTCCCTGGTGTTGGCCAGAGTGGCCACCAGGGAAACCTGGGGAGGACTAGCCTCCCACTAGTTCGAATTAAGGGGCTACACAGCCCTTAATTCAAACTAGCTAGTTCGAACTAGGCTTAATCCTCGTAAAATGAGGATTACCTAGTTCGAACTAAGCGCTCCGTTAGTTCGAATTAAATTCGACCTAACGGAGCGCTAGTGCAGCGCCTATGAAAGTTAGTTTGAACTAACTTTGTAGTGTAGACATACCCGAGGAGACTAGGCCCTGGCCCCAGCTCGCCATGAGACCCCACCCCTGTGCCTGAGCTGGGAGGGCCCGTCTTGCTGCAGACAAGGGAGAAGCAACTCACAGGGGGTTGTCCTTGCCGTGGTTCACCAGGGAGTCTCCCACGCGGATCTCGGCCCCCTGCAGCCTCTCCCCGCAGCACTTGTCTTCCCTGTTCTTCACGATCACCATGGAGACGGAATACCTCCTGCCCAAGTCCACGCTCCACCACGGCTCCAGGTCGTTCTTGGTCTGGCTGCAGGAGCCGAGTTCAAACTTCCCATCACGGTTCCCATCCACGGCCCTGCCAGGCTCAGCTTGCCCAGTCTTGTGCTCAACACTGGAGGACTGAGTGGCCGGACGTCCCAGCGCCAAGTTCTGAGCTGGAATCAGAGGGCGAGAAGAGGGGAGGTGGGACGTGCCCGTTGCCGGAAAGGATGGGATGGGGGAGGTCCCTCACGGAGCTAGAGCTGCTTCCTGTCAGTGACACACTAACCAGGCCAGGTTCCTAGTGGGAGCCGGGACCCTGGGAATAGGAGTGAGGAGAGCAGGATGGTGCAGACAGCAAGTTCATGCCTGGATCTCAGTCCAGAGAGAGCCTCTCTTAGACCACACGTCCCATACTCAAAGGCGCTGGTCCCAAAGGCCGGGATCGGGCACGATGGCCACATGGAGCCTCCTGCCAGCTACAGCCCATGCCCAGGAGAGCAGTGGGAAGGAAAGAGTCTCCCAGGGCTTCTGCTGCCTTACTCGGCAGAGATTGGTGCAGAGGGGCTGGGGTGTAACATGAAAGGGAACAGGTTTCCAGTCACATCGTGCCCGCTCCTTACCTCCTGGTGGTGGGATACAGCCCTGAGATAGAACCTCGACCTCACACAGGGTCAGATGCTCCGTCTTGCCCGGGATGACGATGGTGACATAACGACCCTCCAAGCCACTGCAGCAGATGGTGCTGAGGGATCCGGGTCTGTGGTCAGTGATGGTCCCGCAGCTAAAGGAAAGAGCAGAACCAAAGGAGACAAAACAAGTCTCACACATTCTTTCTATTGGCTCTCCTGTGTCCCTGGCAACACCTTCCGGATACCCACTGATCTGGGTTTAATGGTTTAGTTGCTGAATGCTGGGATGTTAGAAAAGGGCAGTGTCCCTCCTATCCATCACAGTCCTACACGCAGTACTGGGTGGCCCTGGAGGCCAAGTGGATAGGCTGCGTCCCACCCAGGCCCACTCACGGCTATGCCCCTGGCACCATAACAGAGCACTCACAGCCTCAAGCAACTCAGAGGGGAAGCGGCCACACCCTGGCCCTGGCTAGCAATGAGACCCCACCCCTGGGCCACAGCTGGGAGAAGTTATCTCACTGCAGACAATGGGAAGCAACTCACAGGGGGTTGTCCTCGCCCTGGTTCACCAGCGAGTCTCCCACGTGGATCTGGGCCCCCTTCAGTTTCCCCCCGCAGCACTCGTCTTCTCTGTGCTTCACGATCACCATGGAGATGGAATGCCGGCTGCCCAAGTCCACGGTCCACCAGGGCTCTGTGTCGAGCTCGGATTGGCTGCAGGAGCCGAGTTCAAATTTCCCATCACGGTTTCCGTCCACGGCCCTCCCAGGCTCGGCTTTTGCAGTCCCATTGTTGTACGTGGACGACTGGTTGGCCGGACGTCCCAGCGCCAAGTTCTGAGCTGGAGTAAGCAGGTGAACAGAGGGGAGGTGGGACGTGCCCGTTGCCGGGGGAGGAGGGGCCTCTAGAAGCCCTTTCTCCCACACGGACCAGAGCCATTTCCTGATGGTGACACACAAACCAGGCACCACGTGCGAGCCAGGTTCACAGTAGGAACTTGGGCCCTAAGGACAGGAATGACAGCAGGGTGGTGGATCCTCTCTCAGCCCACCACGCCGCATACCCCATTGAGATGAGGCATGATGTTCATGTGGAGCCTGCAACCCACGCCCAGGGGAGCAGTGGGAAGGAAGAGTTTCCCACGGTTTCTGCTGCCTCACTAGGCAGAAGCAGGCACACAAGGGACTGGGGTAAAACATGAAAGGGAACAGGTCTCCATTCCCATTGTGCCAGCTCCTTACCCCCTGGCGGTGGGATACAGCCCTGAGATAGAACCTCGACCTCACACAGGGTGAGAAACTCCTCCCTGCCCGGGATGACGATGGTGACGTAGCGGCCCTCCAGCCCGTTGCAGCAGACGGTGTTGACGGATCCGGGACTGGGGTCGGTGATGGTCCCGCAGCTAAAGGGAAGAGCGAAGGCCAAGAAGTCAAAACAAGATGGAAAAATTCAAACCCTCAGCATCTGATTGAATGAACCTGCGGCACTGAAGGGAGTAGCTGAGCCAGACTCCCCATACCACAGCAGTGGCAGCAACAGCCCAGCCTTTTTCTATTGTTAGGCCCTGGAGCGAATGTCACTCAGGGATGTCAGGATGGGGTTGTGTGTAAGACGTGGGCAGTGACTGACCCACTTTACTTGGCCTTGGGGAGGGCTCAGCTGGAGCTCTGTGTCCTGCTTCCCACCCCCCACTTCAAGAAAGTTGTCAAAAAATGGGAGAGACTTTCATTTGGCAGCAGCCAAAATGACAAGCTGCCTCAGGACACAGGCTGAAGGACCAGGCGGGTGTAGTCAGGAGGAGAAGGCTGATGGGGACATGAAAACAGTCTTCAGACAGGCCACAGGGTGGTCATGGGGCAGCAGGTGACAGGCTCCCCTAAGGCGAAGGGGCCAACCCAGCTCCACCGGGTGCAGTTAGTTCCCTAGGTGACTGGGGGCTGCCAATTAGCTAGGTGGCTCCTGGCACTAGGGCAGGGCTGTGGGGCTCAGTCGGACGCACAGATCACAGAGGAAGCTCCTAGCACTGCAGGGCTCAGGGCAGCTGCTCAGGGAGCGCCCCAGGAAAATCAACCTAGGAGAGGGATCCGGGAGGGAAGAGCTCCAAAGGGGGGAGCTACGAGTCCCAAGCCCCTAAGGGGGAGCTGCCCCCAGGAGAAATCCCTCCCCAGACAGCGGCAGGTGCTCCCGATCACACGGTAACGCCATGCGGCTCTGGAGAGCAGCTACCGTGCTTTGTGCTCTGGTCTAGGGTGACTTGGTCCTGTCTCAGCATGGGGGGGATGGAAGGGATGGCCCCTGGGGGCAGCTTTCTGCCCTGCCTGTCTGTGTCTCTGCATGGGGGCAATGGACACAGCCAGCCCAGCAGTCCCCATGACATCCCGTTCATTCAGGGGAAAACGGTCACTCGCCTATGCAGCTGCTGCCCTTCGAGAGGTGTTGCTCTTTTTCATTCCAGTTGAGGTGTGCGCGCTTCACCCACAAGTGCCGGACAGTTTTTCCACAGCCACTCCCTGTTGGGTCGGCTGTCTAGCTCCCTGTTGTGATGCCGGTGCAGTGCACTGTATATGACCCTGCCGACCCAGTTCCTTCTCGCCCGCTACTCCGCCAGCGGGAAAGGAGGTGGGTGTGCAATTGATGGGAGCAACACATCTGGAAGCCCAACAGTCACAAAGGTGTGTAATCATTCCTTCGAGCGCTTGCTCACATGTATTCCACAGGAGGAGATGCACGAGCCTTACCCAGGAGGAGGTGTCGGAGGCACAGGGAGGGAACAGAGGTGGGAGGGGACTAGGCTCTCCTTCCAGCTGGCCCTTACCGCTCAGCGGGAACAAGAGGAGTGAAAAAATACAGGGGGTGCTCAGCACCCCCTGCAGTCTCCCTGACCATCTGCATCCCACAGACTCAGTGCCCCCCCACGCACTGCTAGCAGGTGTTCTGCGGCATGCAGGGGATGCTGGAGGGGAGGGAAAGGGGGATGAGCATTGTAGTGTGTGTGTGTCGGTGGGGGTGGGGGTGAGCCTCCCCAGTCAGCCTGGCGTGGCCCTGTCCATGCTGTGTCCCCAGGAGGGCCTGAGCTCCCAACCCCTTCCAGCCCTGTGTGGCTGGGGCTGGGGCTGGTGCCCCCAGATGACCTGCCACATGGGACTTAGCGAGGCTGGAGATGAAGCCTGTCAGGGCTCTCCGGTTGCTGGGGGCCAGCAGAGCCTGCGGTAGGTGTGTTCTAGCCTCTGGACTGGGACAGGAGGGTTAGGACCTTGCACAGAAGGTAGCCAGCTCACCTGCTCTTTATGAGGAGCAGCGGGGGCAGAAAGAGGTGGGGGGAAGGGAACATCTTGGGAAGGGGGAAAATTGGGCAAGAAGCAGCGTGCCAGGAATGGAAAACGGCAGGCGAGGCGGGGCAAAGAGGGGATGAGCCCTGGGACAGAACAGGAATCATGCACCTCCAGCAACACTGCCACTGTGCTTACCCTACCACGGAGAGTTGTGTGGGCGTGGAAGCTAAGCAAGTGGGGCTGCAGCCCTCCCTGGCCCAGCTGTGGCTAGGCCTCTGCCCCGCCCCTCCGCAAAGCACTCTCCACCTCAGACCACTCAGAGGGGAAAAGGCCTCGACTGGCAATGAGACCCATGCTCTAAGCCTGAGCTGGAAGGACTCAACTTGCTGCTGTGATGGAGCAGGTGAGCCTACTGGAGTCCGGAAGGTGGGCGGGCATTAGCCCGTCCACATCTAAAGGACCTCCCCCCAGCCTATGGGGAGGGTCCACTGAGCCCATAAAACCAAGTAATTATTTGGGACAAATAAAGAGAAAACCAGGACGGATGTGAGGGTCAAAGGGCTAAGACGAGGGAACCGGATGGAGATACCGAGCAGAGCGCCCCGGACCGCGCCCACTGCCCCTTAAAGGTCTCAAGTGAGCCAGCAGATGCTGCCCATTGGAACTCTGCCTGGATACGTGAGCGGATGCAGGAATGGAAATAGGCCCCACAGTCACAGGCCCCTCCCTCGGCCAACCTCTGCTTCCCGGTCTTATAAATCACCACCTTGGTGATAGCCAGGAGGAGGCTGACCAGGAGGTCCCACGACTTTGTGGGGCTACGGCTGCGGTGTGCATAGATTGGCAGGTGTGGGGAAAAGTGCAGCCAGAACCTCATCAAGAGGTTCTGGAAGAACCGAAAGAGGAGCTGTAATCTGGCGCACTCGAGATAAACGTGCGCCAGGTTCTCCCTCTCACCACAGAAGCGGCAAGTATCCAGAATGGGGGTGAACCGTGCCAAATACACACCCATGCTCACTGCTCTGTGCAGGATTCTCCAGCTGATGTCCCCAGTGGGCCGTGGAACCAAGGTGGAATAGAGACTGGCTCATTGGGGCTCCCCACCCTCTATTGGAGGTCCCACCACTTGGTATCTGGGCAGGACACGAGGGTGGGGAAATGGAGCGTGTGAAGCACCAGCGTGTACAGGTGACTCTTTGGCGTGGTTCGGAAGGGGACCGGCTGCAAGGTGTGCAGCCAGCTCAGGTGATGAGGGGGAGACGGTCGGGGAGGTACGCAGGGATTAGGGCTGATCGATAGATCAGGTGGGCCGGAGGTGAGGGGCGGACCGGGTGCACTCTCTCGCAGGACCTTGTCGAGATAAACCCGAGCAGTGGGCGGCAAAGTGTCCTTCACCTCTTGAAGTATGTGCCAGGGAGTACGTAGGGTGGAGAGCCCCATGCGCTGGGCGAGCGCCTGAGGATCCACCCGTCTCCCTGCTCATAGTCCAAGAGGTCTCCGATCCTTCTGACTTCTACCAGAACCAACCTCTGGCGCACCAAGGGGGACTCTGTCACCTGCACACGTAGATGGGGATTGAGTGGCTCCCACGGTGGCTCCCAAGGACCTGGTTGCTGAGAACAGCTTCCAGGCCCGGAGGACATCCTGGTAGAAGGATGGCAGCTTGGAGAGGTCTCGCGGAAGACCTCTCTAATAAAGGAGCTGCCGATCATATCGGAGCCCTCAGAAGCGGCGAAGGAAAATGTGCCCCAGCGTGCGCCACGCCAGACTACCTGAATCATATAGGAGGCTCTGTAGGGCCTGGAGACAGAGGACACAGACCTGTGTGCGCAAACACATCAGACCCTGCCTTCCCTCCTCCAGGGGAAGATGGAGAATCCCTGCACAGACCCAATGTCATCCTGGCCAGAAGAACTGCAGCATCAGCTGCTGGATCTGATCCAGGAAACCCAGGGTTGGGACCAGGGTGCTGAGATGGTGACAGAGCATGGGCAGGACCAGTTGGTTAAGCACCCGCGCCCTCCCACGCAGGGAGAGGCACCGGAGTAATCCTGTCCATCTCCGCAACCGCTCAGCCACACTGGGCTCTAAACCTTGCCAGTTCTCCGGCCAAGAGGGATGCGTGGCAGAAAGAAAAATGCCAAGACAGAGCAGCAGATCCACCTCCAGCTGATGGCCTGAAGCATGGGTAGGGAGGGGAGCCTGCCTGCCACCCGGCCCCTACCATCAGACCAGAGCTCTTGACCCAGTTGACCTGGGCGGAGGAGGCCACCGAGTAGATGGCTTGGCAGGCCTCTACCCACACCAGGTCTCCCGGACCATGAGGAAGACATCATAGGCATATTTCAACAGGACCAGCCGCATCTGTGGCTCATGGAGCACCAACCCCGTCAACCTCTTGTGAAGGAAAAGGAGGAAGGGCTCAATGGCCAGAGTATAGAGCTGGCCCAATGGCGGGCAGCCTTGACGTACTCCCCACCCAATGCTGACCGGTGCGGTGAAGGTCCAGTTGAGTTTGACCAAACACTGAGCTGGCCCAATGGCGGGCAGCCTTGACGTACTCCCCACCCAATGCTGACCGGTGCGGTGAAGGTCCAGTTGAGTTTGACCAAACACTCTGAGGAAGCGTACAGCACCTGGAGAAACCCCACAAAGCAGGGACCAAAGCCGAAGGCCTGCAGTGAGCCTAGGACATACCCATGGTCCATCTGGTCTAACACCTTCTCCTGATCCAAGGACAGGAGGGTGAATGACAGACCATCCCTACACCCTAGCTCTAGAAGATCCCGGACCAAATAAAGGGTTGTCGAAGATGGTACGGCTCAGGATGGTGCAGGTCTGGTCTGGATGGACCACATCCGCCAGCACGGACTTGAGTCTCAGGGAGATGGCTTTGGCGACGATTTTATCATCCATGCTGAGGAGCAAGACAGGACGCCAGTTCCTCAGATCACGGAGGTTCCCCTTCTAGGGCAGCAAGGCAAGCACCGCTTGCCTGCACAATAAAGGGAGGACCCCACTCTCCAAGGACTCGGCCCAGATGCTGGCAAGGTCCAGGCCGAGGATGTCCCAGAACACGCGGTAGAATTCCACAGTCAGCCCGTCCATGCCCGGGGATTTATTGGTGGGC